CCCCCCCCCCGGCCCCCCATCTTATTCTCCTGCAGCCACTGTGGGTCCCAGCTGCTCCTCAAACATGCCAAGGACCCTCCTACCTCAGGGCCTTTGTACCTGCTGTTCCCTTGGCCTGGTACACTCTTCCCCAGATATCCAGAGGGTTTGTTCCCACATCCCTTTGTTCAAACATCACCTCAAGGTGACCTTTTTCCTGGCTTACCTTCCTAAACTGCTAGCACCAGGCATACCCCTGGTTGGTTTCAGTATTTCTCCCAGCACTTTTCTCTTCTGCTGAACCATATAACTTGTTGTCTTATCACGTCTCCCCCCACACTGGAACGGAGGCTCCATGATAGCAGGGTTTTGTCTGCTGTGCTCACTGCTGTCTCCCCAAAACTTGGAAGGGTATCTAGGGCATAGTTGCATCACAGTAAATATTAAAATGAGTGAAATTCCAGCTCAACTAAATGTGTCATCTCGAGCAGGTTAGTAACCTCACAAAACCTCAATGTCTTCATCTGTAAAGTGGGCTCCCATTATCTCTCTTCCAGGGGCTTATAGGAAGTCATTTCAATAATGGTAGAAATGGCTTTGAGATTTTTATTTGCAGGAGGTAAAATGTGGTCTAGTGACTTGGGATCAAGTCTAGGCTCTGACACCTCATCTCTCTGTGACCCCAGGAAAATCCCTTCCCGCCTCTGAATCCTGCTCGTTTCACCGGTAAAATGAAGCAAACAGAAGTTTCCTTTCACACGGCCTGTGTGGTAGGTGGCACCCATTGGGTGCTTCAAGCAGGGACTGGCCAGTTATGAGCCAGATCTTGACCCCCTCTTCTAGGACCCTGGCCTAAAAGTTCCTGTGTGTGGGCATGGGTCTGGATGGAAGGCGTTGGGGCCTCCTTTCCTTCACTGGGCCTCCCCTTCCTCCTCCTTAACAGGGACTGCAGAGGAGGGTCGTCAGGGCTCTCTGGAGCTGCTGTTTCCCTGCAGAAGGCTGAGGTGCTAGGGGTAGGGTGAGGCAAGGCTGGTGCTGTCCTTTCTGGGCGCTAAGGGCTCTTCACCCCCTCTGCTCCTGGCCCCTCCTCCCTCCTTCCTCCTCATCCCCCACGATCTCAGCAGAGAACAGGGCACCAGGAAACTCCTCAGCTTCACCTCTTCCCCTTCCTTCCTTCTGCTCCAGGTGCACCCTGCCTCCCAGGGGGTAGGGGAGGGACACCATCTACCCCAGCTTAGACCACTCCCTGAGCAGCCACTGAGATGACCCCCTTGGGACACTGGGGAATGGGGCCCCAGTCTTGTTCAGTGGCAATTCTCAAATGCCCTCCTCCCCAGGTTGGATGTACCCTCAGAGATCATCCCAGACCCATCTGGGCTGCTGGGGAGATTTAAGGCCCAGAGTAGGGGGCAGGGCAAATCTGAGATCACACAGGCAAAGCAGCTCTCCTGACTCTGGGACACAGGGCTGGGCTTCAGGGACTCCTGGAAGAAACATTTCATTTCTAGCCTCCTGCTTGGCTTGGAGGGCAAGTGGGGACACTGGGTCTCAGGACACCAGGAGGGGGCTCAATCTGATCTGCTAACCTGACCCCACCTCAGGACCATTGGACACTCTGGATGATTGGGGGATGGAGGGCAGTCTCTCTATTTCCTCCACCAGCTCGAGGCCAGGCCTGATGCTGGAGGCACTGCCAGGACCACCAGGGCCCCTGCCCACAGAGGAGGAAGGCTGGGTCCTAGACTTGGCATTCTCAAGGTTTCTCAGGACCATCCTTCCCAGAGGCCCTGGCCCTGTGGGAGGGGAACAGCCTGCCCAGCCTTTAAGGGCATGGTCCAGGAAGGTGGAGTTAAACCCTGGGTCTAACTAACCTTCACTGCTGTGGAGAACCGGGCAAATAATCTCCCTTTACTCATCTGTAAAATGGGGATGATGAACGTGCCCCTCTTCCGGGGCTGTTGTGAGGAGTAAATACCCAGCCTGTGCGAGGGCAAGGCAGGGACAGAATTACACCAAAAGAAAGTTTAAAAGTCCCTGATGCTAACGGGCATCCTGGTATGTTGGTTGCCCCAGGGGCACCGATCTCCCCTCAAACCATTGCCATCCCCGCATGCCCTCCTCAGGCCCAGCTCGGTCACTCACCCTCTGGGTCCCAGTGACGGACATCTTCGTCCCACTGCAGTCATGGTTCCCCCGCAGTCACTGCCTGAAGCCTGGGTACCTCCTCAGCCCGAGGGCTCCCGCCTTTCTCAGGCCAGGGAGCTCTGAAGCGCAGAGCAGTACTCCGGGGGCGGAGCCTGACCTGTAGACCACGCCCCGGGCACGCCCCTCGCCCTCTGCCGGGGGCCGCCCCACAGCCTACACCTCCCGCTAGGAAGGACACGCCCCGCCTCGGGAACGCCCTTCCGCCTCCTGTCTCGCTCCTCCTCCTCCCCCCATCTGTTAGCGTCCAAGGCCGGGAAGGCCACGCCCCCCGGACACACCCCTCTGCCTTGACCCGCCTCGTTCCAACACCACCTTCCCTCAGCAGTCCGCCTGGCAGCCTGAAAGGGCCACGCCCCCAGACACGCCGCTCCACCCGCCCCTTTCCTGCAAACTCGCCAGGCACGTCTCAGACCCTAGGCTGCCTCAGAACGACCCAGAACCTATCAGGCCTTCTCCCCTGCATACAATCCTTGCTTGCTCTTCCACGCTCAAATGAGGCTGAACTAAGGAGGGGACGGCACAAGACAGCAGCCTGGAACAGCCAGGGATGATGGAAAAACATTTACTGTTGGTGGTGTGCTAGGCACTTTGCTAAGATTTTAAAAGTCCTGTATGTGACTCTTGATTCTCATCATGCCCTACAAGGTAGGTGCTATCATTATGCCATTTATCAGCTGAGGAAACGGACACTCAGAAAAGGAAACAGATTTATCCAAGGTCATGCAGTCAGTAAGAGGCAGAGTCTGGACTAGATTCATTCTGAAACTTTACAAAGTCTTGCTCCCCATTGAACAGAGGTCTAGACTCAATTACCCCAGCACACAGAAACTGTGCTTGGCGTCTCAGGGCAAAGCCATTCCAGAGAGGTCTCAGAACTGGCCCTAGAGTTACTTTTGCTCAGCTGGGGTTTTTTCCCCTCTTTATTTCAATAAGTACATCTGACCAGTGTGGTTTAGACCCAGGGTCTGAGGGTTGAAAAGCTGGAGACTCCTGTGGTTGAGATTGAGGGGTCTCCCAAGGGCATGAAGCACACAGCTGTACAGCTTAGAGGGTGGTGGGTACAATGTGAGAGATGAGTGTGCAGCCATTGGAGGCGGGCAGTTTCTGCTCAAATCCAGCTCTACCACCTTGCCTGAGTCTCAGTCTCCCCATCTGTAAGATGGGTCTCATGATATAACGATAAATGCTTTTACAGAGCGTTCGGTGAGTAACATATGTTTTGACACCCAGTAGAATGGGTGCTAGGGTCATATCATCACTATGTGTATTTTTGCATGAACTCAGCTCACCCTATAACCAAGTGAAGTGGCAACCAGGGGGAGCAGTGTTGTCCAGTAGAACTAAAGGTGATTTGAGTGTGGGGGTCCTGGGCAGGGATCCAGCGATTGGGCTTGGGGCCCAGCCGGCTCCTGGAGGCTGCCTAGGGCGAGTTCAAATCTCACCTTTGTCATTTGACAGATGTGTAACCTGCCTGGGGCAGATGACTTTGCCTCTCTGAATCTTCGGTTCCTCATTCGCCATATGGAAATGACAGAATCTCCTCCCCAGTTGTTTTTGTTTTGTTTTGTTGAGAATTAATTGCAAGTGAAAGACCAAGCATAGTGCCTGGTCTGTAGTAAGCACTTGGTTCATGTGTAGAGTTTTTATTCCCCCTAGAAGTGTGTTTTGTGTGTGTGTGTGTGTGTGGGGGCTCCTCTCCAGGCTCTATTGGCAGGAGGTTGGAGGCACCCTTCCCGCAGATTCCACTCTCACCCCCACCCCACTGTGGGCACCTACCTTTCCGGAGGCACTGTTTCTTCTTTTCTGTCTGCGCTGGGATCCTCAGGCTCTCCCGTGGGGCCCATTACGGAAGGGTTGGGTCCCACTGCTGGGGTGTCCTCCAGGGGGGCATTGGTCCCCACCACCACCTCCTTGGCGGCCTCCAGGCCTGGAGGGTTGGGCAGATCTTGGGGCACCAGGTGGGATTCAGAGCCCACCTCCTTGGTCTCCCGGGTAGCCTGTTGATCACGAGCCTTCTTGGTGCTGTGGCGAGGCATGGTGCCCATGTGGCTGTACATGTCACTGGAGCGGGCATAGGCTGGGGGGCTTTGTGGGACAGTCATCATGTCATCCTGTGTAGCCTCAAAGGTGTCTCGCTCCAGGTGGGACCGGATACTGAGGGAGGCTGAGGACCGTTTCAGAGTGAAAGACCGAGGGAGGTTGGAGAGACTCCCGAGGCCCTTGAACTTGAAGAACTCTGGCAGAGGAAGTGGGGGGAGGGAGTGCAAGGGGAAGACATGAGTTAATGCCAGCAGCAATAATAAAAAATACATGTCGTTCTTCTGACTGAGGGTTCAAGGAGGGTCAGGGCTTCTCTGACACTCCCTTTGTTCCCGCAGAACAACACGCAGCTCTAGAGTCACACAGACCTGAGCGACCGTCCCCGCTCTTCCACATCCTTGCTGTGTGACTTTCGGCAAGTCACTTGACCCTTCTGAGCCCCATTCTCCACATTAGCAAAATAGAGATTGTAGTGCCCACCTCCTATGGACAGCGGAACTGAAGGAAAGCATGTAAATAACAGACTTAATATGGTGCCTGGCACCCAGAATATCCTGGAGAAGTTATGAAGGCAAATGACGATGATTGAACGCCTCTGCATTGGTCAGCTATGCTTCATGCATTACATCACTGAGTTCCCAGCATAACTCAATGACACAAGCTTAATTTCCCTTTTCTGCAGATAACGAAGCGGAGGTCAGAGCTGTGGAAAGACCCGCCCGAGGTGGCATCGTGGGCAGGTGAAGCATGTTTGTGTGGTCGTGGGGTGGGGTGAGTGAGGAGGGGCTGTTTGAGCACCAGGGACAGGGGATGAAATGAGAAGGGGGTTGTTGGGAGCCTGGGGGGCCCACTCTCTGAGGTTCTGTCCTTCCTGTCAGCTGAGCCCACGGTGGGGACTCAGGCGGCCGGGCTTGGGTGATACCATCTCCTCGTTTCCGCAGGGGTGCCTGTGAGTTCCCTCCTCCTTGCCCCCAGCTGTGGGACTGTCCCTCCTCTAAGCCGCCACCCTCTGACAACCCTATGGCCTCCGGGGGAGTGAAAAGGAAAAACTCTGGCATTTTCCACTCCCTAGGTACCCTCTGCCTCCTCAGGTCCTCACCACGATGCCCCCATTGATGAGAGAGGAAACTGAGGCCCAGAGAGGGGAGGGACTTGCCCAGGGTCACACAGCAAGGCTGAGCCCTGATGAGGGGCTCAGGGCTCTGGACTGCTGGGGTCAGTGTTCTGGGGCTTTCCCCCCAGCCCTGCCCACCCTCGGCTGTCTTAGCCTCTGCCTCCTGACAAACACTGTCAGAAAGTTCTGAGGCTCTGCTCTAAGAAAGCTATACCTCTGGGCAGAATTGTGCCAATTGCCAGGAGGAGGGCCAAGAACCACTGTCTCCTGGGCACTGGGGGATCTGGAGGAAACAGTAGTGGGACAGGGAGGGAAACCGAGGCGAGTCCAGGAACATGGGATTGAGCCCTGCTGGGCAGCCCCATATGATCCAAAGCACGTCTCTGGGGCCCAGTATTTTCATCTGTGGAATGCATCTTAATCCTGGCCCTGCACACCCCCACCCACCACCCCCCCTGTGCTGTCAACGGTCAAGTTGAAGGGCTCAGGGGAAGCAAAAGTTGGCTGAGACCCGGAGGAGACCGACTTGGGGAAACAGAGCCTTGGTCAGGGTGACCCCTCATCGAGCTGCCCTGGGTCCCAGCGTCACTGCTGGTGGGGACATGGGGCAGCTTCTCCTGGTGCACCCGTACCCACTCCGGCCCCAGTAACTTCCAACTGAGCCCCCGTGTGAACCAATTCCAGGGCAGGGCGTGGAGCATGTGGAGGTCTTCCCTTGCCCGGCCCCATGAGGTCCAAGGAAACCAGAGATGGTCACACCCACAAATGGCGAGACAGAGAAACAGAGACTGGCAGAGCAGAGATGGAGACCCAAACCAGCTAGAGACAGAGAGAGCTATGGGGCCAGAGTGACAGAGGGAAGGCGACAAGGAAACCCAGAAGCAGAGAACTCCAGAGAGGGATAGAGATGGACAGAAAGAGAAACAGAAACCAGACAGTGATAAGGAAGCAATGCAGAGAGAGACTGAGACGGATGGACAGAGAGATGAAGGGCAGTGCAAAGGGCACCCTGCACTCACTGAACTTTCTGCTGGCTTTCTTGGGTCCCTCCGTCATCTTGGTGGGTCGTGTAAAGCCCCTGGCCAGCGGGCAAGTGGCCGCTCTCGACTCCGGACATCAACGCTGAGGTTCTTCCCTCACCTCCCCTTCCCCTTTCTTGCACCCTCTTGCCGCTCGCTTCCTCTGTGTATTTTTAAACCGGTGAAACTCCCACAGCTCCACCCTCCCCATCCTCTCCACGGGGGCGGGCCAGGGCCTCCCCCACTCCGGGCCCCCATGGGCTGCCTCCTTGACCTTGGCTATGGGGGGGGAGAGGGGGGCAGGGGGCAGACCACAAGCCCATGGGACCCGGAGGGCCTGGGGGGGACAAACCACAGGCCCTGGGAATGGAGCCCACTGGGTGGGGGCTGTGGGGGGGACCCGCTGACAGCTGTCAGGGGGTCTGGCCAGCGGCTGGAAGGGTGCTGGGAGCCAGGCCAGCCCACAGGGCAGTTTGTTCTAAGCCTCGGTGCCTGGGGAAGGACTGGGAGCAGTGAAGAGTGCTGTGGTTAGGCCTGTGGCCCTGGGGACCACCCAAACCCAAGTTCAAATCTTGGCTGGCTACTTTGTCACCGTGTAATCCTGGCTAGGCCACTGACTTTCCTGAGCCTCAGTTTCCTCACTGTGAGCAGGGGGTATTTGCAATGCCCACCTCACAGGGTCCAGTTCGGCGTGAAGCCTGGCACAGAATCGGTGCCCACCAAGGCATGATCATTCCTTTTTATTTTTTATTTTTTTTATTTTTTTTTTATGATCATTCCCTTTTAATCCAGGGGGACACGGTGGCAATTTGGTCCACCACACCCTTTATACAGGGAT